CTTCAAACTTAGAAAAATCATAACTCTCGCATACAAGCTCTATCTTTGACGTTCTTTATATCCACGCATAGGTAAAAAAAATCTACAACTTTAATTTAGACTCCGTCAGCTAATTCTCGACCGATCTCAAATTTAACAGTAGGAGGAGTTTAGACTGCTAAATGACCGCGAAGAATTCGTAACTCCTTCATACGGAATCCGTTTTCATCTATCTTTTTACCTTTGAGTTCCTATTAATGAGATCTTCAACTCTCATTTAGGTCGCGTAAGCCAAAAACCGCTCGAACTAAAAATCGAGTTTCGGGTCGTGCACTGCTAAGCCAAATCTTAGAAAATTCATAACTTCCTCATACGAAGTCAGATTTGGGTGTTTTTTTGTGGACGCTCTCGGTTTAACGTATTCTACGACTTTCGTTTAAACCGCTAAGGCTAAATCTCGCTCTATCATAAATTCACTATTTACGCTTCCCGGTGCCATTCCGGTTCCATCGCGAAACTTCGACGGGTCATAACTTTCTTCGTTATAACTCGGATTTCGACACTCTTTATATGTATGGAAACTTTGTAACATATTCTACGACTTGGTTAAGTATATTTATTCTAAATAATATTTTTTTGAAAAGTCGTTTTCGACCTCTATCATCTCTAAATTTACTAGCCCGGATCTACGGGCGTTACAAACATCAAATCATCATTTTTTTTCCAAGGACAAAAAAATAAATTCTAATAAATTGATTCACAAATCTACCTCCGATAGCCATCCAAAAGAAATTTTATTAACACCAAAATTATTAGATATCAATTCAAAACACCGTAATATATTAGATGACGAATTAATTACAACCTCTTGAATGAGATATTACCCTCCTGGAGATCACTATTAGATGATGACGCAATGTAAGAGGCCTAATTAACCGTCACAAACACTACAAGGAAAAAGGCCATTACCGGCGACACAAGTCGTCGGTAAAAGTCCCAAAAGTCGCCGGTAATACTAATAGCGGCGACGCGTCGCCGGTACTGAATCATCACTACTGTCTCGTCGCTATTGATCAGTTTATCGCCGCTAATGATAATAGTCGCCGCTAATGATTATTGTCGCCGCTAATAAGACAATCGCCGGTAATGACATACGTCGCCGGTAAAAGTATCGTCGGCAAAAGTGTCGCCGGTAATGAGTTCTGTCGCCGGTAAAAGTGACGTCGGTAATTTTTTTTCATTTTTTTTAAATAATGATTTTCGTTGCCGGTGATAATATTGCAGGTAAAAGTGTCGCCGGTAATAACAAGGCAATCTTCTTAAGACCAAGAACAACTCGTAATGGAGGGACTCGGCGAGTTGTTCATACAACTCGGCGAGTCCAAGGCAATCTTCTTAAGACCAAGAACAACTCGTCGAGTATGTTCATACGACTCGGCGAGTCGGATGAAGATTGTATGAGTTCTTGGACCAAGAGGGTACTCGTCGAGTCGATGCCATACTCGACGAATAGCAGCGAGTAGGATTGAAAAGTGAGAGTAGGACTCGGCGAGTTGGGTGGCCCAACTCGGCGAGTCAGTCCAAATGAGAGTGACTTTGACCAAGGGTAAAAGAGTCATTTTACCCAAGTGCAGTGTTTAGTATTTGATTGAGTGTGTTTATGGGCTTGTAGCCGGGGAGATACAGGAGCAGCAGCAGTTAGCTTCCAGAGCCACACACTCAGCAGCCAGTTTACGAGGTGAGTTTCCTACCAGTAGGGACGGGTCTAAGGCCACAATGCCGGCCCGTTCAGTTAGCAGTAGTTTCCGGACTTAGGTCCGATGCAGTAACTAGTATGTTTGATGCCTTCGTGGCTCAGACAGGATATGTGTGCTATGTTTTATGTGTTAAGTGTTATGTGTTCCGGGCTACGGCCCGATGTAGTATGCAGTATATGTGTTCATGCTAGATGATATGTTATGCTATGCCATGTTGAGTCAGTCAGTTCCGGACTTCGGTCCGATGCAGGGGACAAGGTCCCAGTCGGTTCCGGACTCGGTCCGATGCAGTTAGTTCCGGACTTGGGTCCGATGCAGTCAGTTCCGGACGTTGGTCCGATGCAGTTAGTTCCGGGCTTTGGTCCGATGCAGTTAGTTCCGGACTTCGGTCCGATGCAGGGGACAAGATCCCAGTCAGTTCCGGACTTCGGTCCGATGCAGTTTCCGGGCTTCGGCCCGATGCAGTGGGCTAGGCCCAATATGTGTTTATATGTTATTGTATGGTATGTGGTATTTTGGGGGAGCTCACTAAGCTTCGTGCTTACGGTTTCAGTTTTGGTTTCAGGTACTTCCGCAAGCAAAGGGAAGAGCTCGGGGTGATAGCATCGCACACACCACAGCTTAGCTTTTATCCTGGGGATGGTTTTAGTTGTTTTGATTTGATATAGTATGATACAGTTTTCCGCACAGTATTTTATTAGGTTTTGGGATACATCGCGTATGTTTTTATGTTATGATACTCAGATTATGGTTTTGATTATATCGAAAAACGAAATTTTTTGTCGTGATTTTTGGGTCGTTTCACTTGTGCATCCTGGTACATTTGATTGAGATCAAACTTTGTCTACAATAAAAAAAAAAAAAGTTAACCAAGTAAAAAACAATTATAGTTAAACCTATAAAATATATTTAAATAAATAATTACCGCTAAATGTTGTAATACAGTGTCCTTTATATTAGGGGAAACTCTTTTCCAACTCTATTTGTCGAAAGGGACCATCTGCCACATTGGTTTCCCAACTTCTCAGGAAAACATGTTTCCCGCCTCTCCGACGGGATTAAATGTGATATCCCTATCATATTGCATGCCTATTGGTTTCCCCTGGTTCTGCAAGATTGCTTTTTCAAGCTTTATATTTTTTGCTTTTCCTCGAACTTTCCTTCGGGCACGTCCCTCAACTACAAATGTAATTAAAAATTATTAGAAACGACATTTAATTTATGATAACTGAATAAAAATAGTAAATAAAAATTCATGATAAGACTTACCGTCCTGCTCATGCTGGCCAGGATCTCTACCACCTGGGAAAGGTGGGTCCTCAGCTCCGTCTCCCCCATGTCCACGACCCATGATAGCAGCCATGGTAAACATAAACAACAACCATACTCTCATCATTTCCTGAAAAATTATAAGATATACAAATACAATTTTTATTATGGATACACATTACATAGAAACAAACATTTAGATAGGAATAAACATTTCTATTTAAACTAGAAATCCAAATAAAGTTCATATTACAAACACATATTACAAATACACATTACATAAAAATAAACATTTATATATATATATATATATATATATATATATATATATATATATATATATATATATATATAATGTTGTTGTATGACGCCAAAGTACATTGCTATTTTTAAACTAAGACAAAAAAAACAAAGTACATTGTTATTTCTTGCATATGGGACAAAAACTCAAATACCAACGATTTTAGCAAATACTCACCAAAAACCAAAATGACCAAATCAACTTACATTTTACGATGCCAAACTACATTTCTATTTTTAAACTAAGCAATAACCAAAGTACATTGTTATTTATTGCATTTGGGACAAAAACATAATTACCAAAGCTTTTAGTAAATCATGATGACCAGCACCTTAATGCCTTTTACTTTTCAAATTTTCATATCAATAGTTTGAAATATTATGCAAGAATGAACAACACAATAATAATAATAATAATAATAATAAAATAAATGTAATGTAGACTTTATAACACATGACATATATATAATTAAACTAAAATTTCACATATTTATTAATTTTATTTAGACAAACTACACATATATACATTGACATATATACAATTAAACTAAAATTTCACATATTTTAACATATATACATCAAACATCAAACACAGCACCTACACATATATACATATATACATCAAATTTTAACATATTTTGACATATATATATATACATCAAACACACATACATTGACATATATACATTGAGACACCTACAAATATTTTTCAATTAAACTAAAAATTCACAATAAATAGAAGTAAATAGAACCTGTGGTGGTGGAAGTCAATGAAAATAGTCCAGTGGTGGCGATAGTCTCGGGTGGTGGTCGGGAACGTAGTAACACAATCAACAAAATTGAAATTGAAAATTTTTTACAATTAACCACTCCAATAAGCATAAAATCGATGTTACAAGACAAAAGGGAACGAAAATTGACCTGAAAATAGCTTGGTGTCGCCGGAAAAAGTTTGGTGTCGCCGGAAAAGCTTGGGCCTCACCTGGAAATCTTTCTCCACCGGTGATATCTTCTTTGTGGACAATTTCACACACCCAAAATTGATAATTCTCACTGGTAGCCCACAATAATCGGTGAAGCAAGATGTAGACGAGAGAAGAGAAACAGGCTAAGGGAGTGAAACAGAAAGAGCAAAAGGAAAAAGATCGAGTTTTTGGGGTTAACTGCGTCGGCCTTTAGCGGCGACACCTTTACCGGCGACAAATTGAGCTTTAGCGGTGACACATATCAACAGCGGCGACTATCAGGAGGGAATTATTACCGCGTCATTTTTTTTATCTTTAGCGGCGACTATTTTGGATCATTACCGGCGACAAAAGTCGCCGGTATTTCATTTATGCGTTCGATGAGGACCCTAGCCGTTGGATTAGAAAAACGATCGGACGGTTCGTGTTTGCCAAAACGTCAAAGAGCGGATCGGTGTCATTCAGCCTTTAGTGGCGACACCAATAGCGGCGACACAGGCCTTTAGGGGCGACTTTTTAATTTGTCGCTGCTAAAGCTCCCTGTCGCCGCTATTGGTGTCGCCGTTAAAGGCTCTATTTCTTGTAGTGAAAGGATTCATAGCCATAATAATATATTATATAACTAAAAAATTCATGTAGATCATGCACTATTCTTAGGCACATTATCCATATTTAAAACCATTAGAATAAAATGGATATAATTTTAAAGATACATAAAAAAACAAGTTACATAAATTGTAACTTTCTTCAAGAACATCCGAAACAACTTCTATGTTTGAGTTGTGTTGCTGTCTATTCTTCGAAAACTCAAATGAGGGCTTAATAAGAGATAAATCAGGCCAAGTCTGAAGAAAATATGAAAATTAATCGAGTGAAGATGAAAGATGACAACAAAACAGACTTTAGAAGTAATTGACCACTTAACAGGCATATGTCTACCAGAACGAGTTCGAAATTGGACATAGAGCTCTACTTACCTTCTAAACACCAGTGGGGACGGATCCACACCATTTCTGAACCCATGTTCTCTTGTTGGAAGAAATTTTGTGTTTATATAATTGATTCTTTTCTTTAACATTCCGAGTCTGAGTCTGAGTCTATTCAGAGGAAGTTCTAGGACCAGCAAGAACATCAATATGACTCCTACAAGAAAATCATAAATGGTTTAAGTAAATCGTTGTTTCACGACATAAAATTTTCATTCCCGACAAGAAAAATACATTCTAATAAATTGGTTTCATAAATGTCACTCCCGTAGCCATCCAAAAAAATTATTAACAACAAAATCATCTGATATCAATACAAAACAAATAACTTCTGGAAAATCTTACCTCCCATAGCAACCCATAAGTGACATATGACCCTGGAGATTCTTATTAGATGGCGAAGGTAAGTACGAAGTTCTACCAAGGTACTGTCACACAGGATTCATAGCCACAAGAATATATTATTAAATAACCAAAAAAATTATCATCACCAATTTCCAAAAAATTCATGGTGATCATGCATCATTTCCAGGCACATGATTCGTATTTAAAACCTTCGGAGACTAAAAATTAATATAAAAAACACACGTGTATGCCACATTTGTCAAAATAAGCTCTAGCACGTTCAATCGTTGTGTTTGAGTTGTGATATTGTCAACTCTTGGAAAGTTCGAATGAGGGTTCACTTAAATCAGGCATTGCTTCCAATGTTTGAAAAAAAATACGAAAATTAATTGAGTGATGACTAAAGATGACCAGAAAATGAATAAAATAACATGTATGTTCACTCACCTTCAGAACCTCAGCGAGTGTTATCTCATAGGAATTCCTTGATATATCTGACATTATCCTCTATATTATGCAAGTGGCTTTGCATAGAATCTTGAACTGGAAAAACCAAGGCATCTATACATATTGTTGGCAGTTAGTTTCAATGCTTGTTGTTGTATATCAAATTGTTGATACTTGAGGCCTGATGCTGTCTTTAATAATCTTTTTACATGTTTCCTTCTTTCAACCGGATTTTTCAGTAACTACAAAAGGTAAGTAACACCATATGAAAGATTTATACAAAACATTAAACTAGTTTTATCAATTTAACTATGGTTAAAATCTAACCTCGGGTAGAACTCCAGTTGTATTTGAAGATGGTAATCGAGGAACTAAACCATCTTTAGATCTCTCTACTGTTTTAAAGCAGATATTGTACTCCTGTAAGCAATCTAAAAACATTTCAAGAACTTAGCACAAAGGGTAAAACAATCAATAATAATCAAGACGAAGGGGAAAGAAATCTTCAAGAACTGTAAGCACAAAGGGTAAAACAGTCAATAAACCAAAAAAGAAAACAGATTAATAGACTTTTGTGCATTTTGTGATATTCTTACTTTGTTCAGGGTGTCATACTTATTTATCACCCCATTTGCATCAAGCAAGTGCATGTTACTTGTGCTTAAAGTACTAGTAAGTTTAAATTTCTTCAGCAGCCTTTCTTGTCTTGCTTTGCTCATTTTATCAGCATTCATTATTATTTGAAAATTAATTGTTGTGTCGTCATTATGAGCATTGTATTCCTGGAAATTTACAGCATAAAAAACATCAAAAACCTTAAAAGGAAGGATATTATAATTATGTATAATAATATACCTCTATGAAAGGTTCCTTATCTTTTGCAACAGTTGAAGCAACCTCCAAAAACTCCTTATACTCCAAAACCATCAAAAACCTTAAAAGGAACGATCATGTATTTTGTCAAGACAAATGTGAGTTTAATCAAATTTGTTCATTACTTGCACACCAAAACCATCGAATAACATTCTGTCCACATGTGACTTGTGAAATCCAATATCTGAGAAGGAAATCATTCTCTAATTACAATCAACCCCTCACTAAGAGCAAAAAGTCTCCTGGATTTTGTAACAATTACCAAACAGTCCCTAGACTCTTACCAGACGAGTTTCATAGCCAAAGGATCTGCAATAGAGGGAGAAGCAATTGGCCCACTCCCCACAACGACTCTTCTTTGTTTCAAGAAGCTACACCATGAAAGATGCCATGAGTTTAAAGAATCAGAAAGTGATTTTAAAAAGTTTAAAAAAAATAAAAATTGTGTACATTTATAGGATCATTATACCGTCGAAAACATGTGATTCTTGAACACTATCTACAACTGGTCCAAGGAAAAATACATACGAGAAAATAAAGAAAAGACACTACAAAAAAATGCCAATTAGTGACAAAATCAAAATGGTCACTAACAATGGAAGGTGTCGTCACTGAGTAATTTAGTGACCAAATATCTAATCGTCACATTTCGTCACTATAGGTCCGTCACAAAAGTGAATTAGTGACCAATTGTAAAACTGGTCACTATTAGTGACCAAAATATATTCGTCACTAAATCTGTGACACCATGTTTTGTCACTAAAATGACGTCACTAATCAATAAAAGTCGTCACTATTTATATAATTAGTGACCTATTTCAGTGACCATAAAACGTCACTAATTTTGGGTAACCTATTAATGGCTATAATGACCAGAAAAAGTGGTCACTAAATACTTATCATCAGAGACCAAAAAGGGTGGTCACTGTTATAATGACCAAAAAAGGTGGTCACCAAATACAATATGCTATCAATTGAGTTGCTATACATTTTTCATAGCTATAATTGGATAGAATTTTCATAGCCAATTCTATAATAGGAACAAATAGAAGTAGATTGTTATAAATAACATATCATCGAAAGTATGTTTCTATTTCTTGCATATAGTCATCAAATTTTTACAAACCGAATATTTTAAAATTAAAAGACATCCAAATTAAAATAAACATTTTCAAGTGTGTCTTCATGGCCATTGAATTATGATGCTTTGAGGATCTTCATAAATGGATGAACCCTTTTTCTTTTTATCTGAAAACAGAAGTTAAAGATATATGAAATAGTTGCTTCTATTCCACACTCCCTTTTTAAGGGACTATAACACCAAAAAAAAAATCTGGAATTATTTAGTTAAAGTTATATTACATTTGTGAGTATGTTTTGGAAGTTAAATAAGTAGTGTAAGCAAGTTAAAGTGAAGTTTTGACTAGTTATACAAATATCAAAGTAGGCCACCTATGTAACATGAAAGATAAGAAAGGGGGCAAAGTTGCCAAGTGGACAAAATATAGATACAAAGTGGTAAAATCCTAGAAATGTGTTTTCCATCTTATTTTTTTAAAAAAGATCACCAAACAATTTATAATTTCATTATCAAAATTCAAAGAGGTTGTATTCTTGGTTAAGTTATAATTTCATTATCAAAAACAATTTACAATTTATAATTTCATTATCAAAAAGATCATCAAGAGGTTGTATTCTTGGTTAAGTTATAATTTCATTATCAAAAACATACTTAACCAAGCCACACTTGTTCCACCAATAACTTTTACTTCAAAAGTTTAACCACCTACTTTCAGTTTTGTTCCATTCTTGTGAAGTTTTGTATCTTTTTGTTCCATTTTTATAAATTTTTTACACTTTAACCTTTAGTGATGTGATGCCATGGGTCAAAAATAGTAAATTTCATTGATCTGGGCATATGCTACAGAATTAATGCTTATTAAACTATAGTACTAATACTGTAACAGATATCCTAATGGTGTGTTTTTATTAGATTACTAGTATTATAATATTATGTCACATATGTTTTTTTTTTATATATATTGTGTTGAATTATTAAAAATAGTAAATTTCTATATAAGTTTGAAACATAAAAATAAAATATAAGATACCTCATAAATTAGTACCAAGTAAGAAATACTCATCATCAGTCCAGGCATAGCCAGGTAAGATGCCAATTTTCCTCTTCAAAGCAATCAACTACAAAAATATGCATTACAATGAAAAATCAGAAGCTAAATTAAAATTTTCATATGTATGAACAAGATACAAAATTACAAATTGTTAAAACTGTTCAGTTTTTCACCTTTGCTCATTTACCAAAAAGAATGCCATGCACTTTTCTCTTAGACAACTTGTACGCCACTGAAATAAAATTTATGGTGAAGGTTGTATAAACACACACACACACAAACATATATGAGGTGGAAATTTTAGAAGGCAATATAGTGTTAACTAAACATCTAACCTTGGTGGGACCCATTTTAGGTGTTGGACAAAACATAACTTTGTGATCATGCTTTTGAATGGCACAGAAACCTGCAAGCAAAGATAGTTCCTCAAAATCCCAGGTGATATCACAACATTCAAGGAGACCTACATGAACTTGGATATAGATTCTTATTGAAAGAATAAATAGAAAAGTAGGAAAACATCTGTAATAACTAATTCCACATTGGTGAATCAATTAGAAAGACTGAAAGACACTACTTAACTAAGATAAAATTACCCAACTTATAGTATCACTCAATTACCTTGATTCACGTATGAAAAAAAAAATTATAGATGGGAGAAGATGTTCAGTCAAGCTGCCTTCTCTCATTGACGTGATCAAATTCGTTTTTGCGAAGTCAAGTTTGACCATTGGTAACTGCATAAATGCTATACTGAACAATTCACTGTTATTTATATTGAACAGTTATCCAATAATCTACATTAACAATATCAGTGATCAACATCATATCAATCGATTAAAGTCACCACAGATAAATTCCATTCCTTTTCCAATTCGATCATACCAAACAATACTACTGAATAGTTGTCCAATAATCTCAATTGACATGCCTGGTAGTTGGGGCAAAAGGTATTTTGGTCTTTATGATAACAAATTCAAGAAGGAAAGTGACATGGGTGAAGAGTATGGTCAAAGAAGTTGTTTGATTGGAAAAAAAAAAAGTAATGATATTATGTACTACTGCAGAGGTTAGTATGATGAAACTATGATTTAATGATTAAAGACACAACTTTACTAATGTACTCATAATCATGATGCTCAATTGCAAGAACTTTATGGTTTTATAAATATTCATAGCAGCACAAAAGTTTTATAGACCCTTGGATCCAAGATTTGGATTTTTAATGGTAAATGTAGAACTAATAGTTGTTTATGACATCCAGATTTATGAAGATGCAAAACCATAACTTGTAATGGATACATGATTAAACAATTGAAATAAGTAATTATGATAGAAATATTGATGAAACCTGTATATGCTTAGACTTGTTATTCTCATCGGGAAGACGTGATTGTTGAAAAAACTGAGTATTCGGTACCTAACAATAACCATAGAGTGTTAATAAGAAATTAGTACTAAATAATAGCCAAATGTGTTCAAATCTGAAAAACTAGGGTTTGCTCATCAGCGATCGTACAACAAAAGATGGAGGATTGTTCTTCCGCAACAAAAATAAAAATTAGGGATTCAAATATAACCTGGAAATTACTCTGTGGAATCAAACCAAATACTGGAAATTACAAAGATATCAATACAAACAAGTAACAAATGCCGACTGAAAAGCTCTTATTAACTATAACTAGATCAAAATATGATACGATTCATCAAGCAATCCGAACTACCATGGGATTAGCAATATATACGGAATCCTTAACGCGTGTGACATAGATAACGTACCTCAATAGAAGAAGATGGTGGAGATTTCGCTGGGATAATCATCAATTCGATGGTGGCTGAGGCGATCCGGAGGGGATGAGAGGAGGAGGATTGGGGAAAATTATTTATCAAATAAATTAACGGATCGGAAAAAGGTACGACTCATATTCCTTTTTATTGCGTGGAAAAAGGCTTTTGTATAAAAAAAAAAAATTAGGGCGTTGTGTAATATGAAAATTTAATTATATCTAAAATAGCAAAATAAGGGCATTGTTGTAATTTTAGCGTTAGATAAATTATAAACCATTTTCTTATTGATGAAGTTAAAGAAATAAAAACAAATTATTGCCGCATTGTTTTTCCATGTAAAAAGAAAAGAATTTCGTTCATGTTTTTTTTATTATATTAGTGACCACTATTATGTAGTCATTAATTTTTTTCTAATGGGTTTGTAAAATAGGCAGTGACCACTGTTACGTCGTCACCATGTGTGGATTTGAAAAATCAATAGCACTTAATGACTATTATTTTTGGTCACTATGCTTCAATAAAGTGACAATTATTTTTAGTCATTAAACATCAAATCAGTGACCACTAATTTTAGTCATTAATACTTATCAAATTGAATAATATTAATAATAATTTTTAGTGACCATTCAGTGACAACAATCTCAGATTTGGTCACTAAATGTTTACAACTACCAAAATTTAGTGACCACTTAATATATGGTGACTAAAGAATGTTGTTAGTGACTAGATTTATAGTGGTCACTAAAAAATTGGTCACTAAAAAGGGATTTTCTTGTAGTGAGAAAGGGATTAAATTAAACAAGAAATAATATTTTTTATACGGATAAAGTTCAACTCGAGAGGCTCCATAAGCAGTTTCTGAAGAGTTTGGTGCACCCATTCCTTGATCTTCTTGTTAAAAATCCATTTTGCCTTCTTTTCAACAGTACTTGATAAAGTCTGCGAGATTTAAACATTGTAGCTCTAGGTTAACAATAAAACCTGATAATCGAGCTACATTTTAACCATAATCGATAATCAGACATAAAATTAAGAGAAAACAGGGAAAATCAGACATATAGTTAGGTCATCAGAGATGTTGGACAACTCCTGTTTAGCTTTCTTTGAAATCCAATAGCTTCCTGCTTTAACTTTAATTCTTCCGACTTTCACCAATGCTTTCTTCATTTCCGCCCTATGCTCTTGCACACCTTCGCACAATCACTATACGTAAAATTGTGTGAAATTTCTGTTAAGAAGATGGGGTTTCTGCGTCTTGCAAATAGAAAGTGTAAATGAGGGGAAGTGTGAAGACAAACATACCGATTTGCTGCGTCCTGCAATTCCCATATCAAAGTCTACAATGATTTATTTGTGACTAAACCCTTCCAGACACTTATAAAGTACACAACATAAAGGGTAAGATGAAATTCAATACTAAAATACTAAAATATTGTAAAAGACTACAGATGAATCACCTTTGCAAATCTCAAAAGACCAAAACTTGTTGTAAGATGAAATTGAATACAGATCGAGCTCAGATTGGTATGTATCTCTTCAAAATTTGCTTCCCCGTCACGGCTGATCCCACCGCTATTCCACCAATAGCTCCAACAACAGCCGTCGACCTAGGGCCCGCCGCCGCCTTGTAAAGCGCTCCAGTCACCAATCTAGCCACCACGCTCCAGTCGCTAATCCTGCCACCACACATTTCATTCCGATTAACCCTAAGTTTCATGGTATCTCTAGCGTCAGAAGCCTTCACGCCCTCTACTAAACCCTTCCCCATGCCAACTACTACGCTGCTGAGGTAACCGATACCAATGTAGTATGTTAGGTTTTTGACCCATGAACGCCGTTGAGCGATGGATTCCTCTTGAAAGAGGTATTCAAGAGATGTGGGAAGTTTGTACATCGTTTGTGCAGGGACTCTAATATCTTGGTAAGGGTTGTATAGCCAACGGTTGTCATGGTGATCGTTGCTTTCGTTGTGATTTGAAGGTCTCGGTTAGTAAGACATGTCATAGTTAGGGCTACGATTAGGGTTTCGATCTTTCAAGAATCTGATTCCAAAGGAGAGAGAGAGAGAGAGAGAGAGAGAGAGAGAGAGAGATTGAGTGCAGAGGTAGAGGAAGACGAATTGCTTAAAGGATTATTAGGGTTTTTTTGTTAGAGGATTTTAGAAGGAGAAGAAGGAGATGCATTGGCTGGTGTTTAATTTTTTGGGATTTCATTTTCCCCATGGGCTGTTAAAAAACAGAGACTGCGCCTTCCTTAATAAATATAAAGCGACACGTTTACACAACGCGCTTTTTATGATTGGTGCCCTCCGTGTTTTTAATTTTTTTTGTTGGACACTAATTTTTGGGCACGCAAAAATGCGTGTCCTCTATCCTTCAGATTTTTGAAAATTGACATTATTCTTCAGGATACGCACAAATGCGCGTCCTCTATCAGCGCGCGTCATTGTTTGCCCGTCATTAAAGGGCTGTTTTCTGGTAGTGCTGAACTAAAAAGTGTACTTTTAAAATATAAGTATTTTTACAAAAAGTATACAAGTATACCTACATACCAGAAACAATATCATTAGTAGAAGAAAACAAAAGTATTTGGATGTTGGATACTGCCGTGGAATGGACTTATAAGATTTGGTAAATGAGGAAAGTTGTCCAAGGTTTATTGGACCGCTTAAAGTTATTTAGAAAATTGGGAACCAAGCTTACAAGCTAGAACTACCAGAAGAACTAGATGGTATTCATAACACTTTCCATGTGTGTTAATTGAGGAAGTTCACGGGAGAAGTTCTCGACATCATTCCATTTTCTGAATTAAAGTTGGATGAAAGCAAGAGGTTAAATGAAGAACCATAGGCAATTATTGACCGTAAGACTAAAAAGTTGAGACGCAAGATGGTCGATTTAGTGCTTGTGCGATGGAAACATATGAATGGGCCAAATCTCACCTGGGAAACGGAGAGTGACATGATGAGTCGTTATTCGCATTTATTTGCTAATGTATGATTCCGAGGACAGAATCATCCTAAGGGGGAGACAATTGTAACGCCCGTGTTTCTAGGCTAGGCATTAATGATGATGTGATAGTCTAGATCAACCTTTGTAACTTGTTTTGAAGTAATAAAGATGTATTATTTGAGTATTATGTGCTTACACTTAATTATTATGATTTAATAAATTAAGGATAAAAATAAGCGTCGAAAATAAATGTTAGATAAACCTGATATCTATGAAGAAAGTTGTAGTGGTTGATACAAGGATTCCGGAGATATAAAAATACCGAAATTCGAGTTATATCGAAGAAGTTATGACCTGTCGAAGTTTCGCGACAGAACCGACACGACACTATGTAACGTAAAAAGTGAGTTTACGATAAAATGATTTTTAGACATAGCAATGTAAATGAAACTCGTAGTATACGTTAAACCGAGAGCGTGCATAAAAAAAGATATCCAAGTCTAACTTCGTATGAGGAAGTTATGAATTTTCTAAGATTTGGTATAGTAGTATGCAGCCCGAAACTCGAATTTGAGATCGAGCGATTTTTAGCCGACACAACCTAAATAAGAATCAAAGATCTTGTCGATTGTAGTTTAATAGTAAAAAGACAGACGAAGACAGACGTTAGATGAAGAAGTTATGAATTTGTAACGGACTTTTCTTGTCGCGACCTGTTAAAATATAACTTTAAAAATAAAGTCAAAATTAGCAGACGAAATCTAAACAAAAGTTGTAGAGCATAATTTCACCTACGTGTGGATACAAATAAGTTCAAAAACGGATCACGTATGCATAAGATATAATTTTTTGAAGTTTCAGGCACAAACTTAAAAGCTAGAAGAACGCCCAATGTACTACTGTGTACACGGTCTGTAATTGGCCACGTATCCCTACTCCATTGCATGGTGCACACGTGTTTGTAGCCTTGACACGTCCGAGATAATCCCTTCGTACACCCAGCGTACTCGATGTACGCTCAACGTAGTGGTTGGTGAAGTAGTACGCCCTGCATACTAGGAAAGCTACGCCAACGTAACTCAAGGCATCAGCCACTATAAATAGAGAATGAAGCCTGCCAATCTTTGTTTACAAAATTTACTTCTCTCACCCTCTACTTTCCTTTATGTTAGACTAAATACCCTTAAACTTAAAATACCATCCTAGCATCATAAGCAAGTCCCAAAGTACCCGAAGACCCCGAGAAAAAGAGTTTTCGAGTCAAAACTCTGTCCACGTGAAGCCCAAATTTTGAGAAAACATCCCAGTTTTATCGAAAAAGATTATTTTAAGGGACGAAGTGCTGTCCAATTATCGTCAAATCAAGTGAGTGTGTTGTCACTTTCATCTTATACATAGATATGAAGTATTTTCTATAAAATATGTGCTATGTGTATATATATTGTTTGTTTATTTGAGATGGGTGTTGAATGAATGTTTTATACAAGTTTTAAACTGTATATGTATTTTTATCTACAAATATGGTGGGTAAAACATGGGTAGATAAAATAGATGATGTGTGATAAAATGATAAGAGGCCTCGATATTGTTGTTGTTCCATTCATCTAGCAGAGTATAGATGACGACCACAGACTATTCTAGACAGTCCAGTGGAATGTTATTAGGCCCGCAACCTGTATGTGTTTTTGAACTAAGTGTTCACCAAATGTAATCCATCCCCCCCCCCCCCAATAGTTGCCTTATTTGACATGTATTGCTGAGGAATCCCCTAAACAGTGATGTCACCTCGAAGAAAAAAATACTTAAGCTTGGTCCCTTATGTTAGATGTTTAGGACGTAAAGTGAGGATAACGGGAATGGGTAATCAGTGATATTGTTGGTTGATGAAATTAATAAATTTATAGTTGGTTGATGAAATGAAAAAATTTATTTATTATGGGTAGAAAACCGTATATGCTCACCAGGTTCCCAAGCCTGACCCACTCAGCTTTCTATATTATAGGTAGTAGACCCAATCACCCAGAGCATAGTTGGATGATAACGATGGAATTTTGGATTATAAGCCAGTAGATGTAAATAATTGTTGTAAGGTCTATAATATACTGTTTATGCTTTTGGTCTGTATCGATGTGGACATCCCGAGTTTTGCAATAAAATGAAAAATACATTTCTTGAAAAAATGCTTTGATAAATATATTTTTTTATCATATTTTGTTTTGGGATAAATTCCGCATATTTTTATTGGAGAGATTACTCATATTTTATTTTAAAAGCATAAGTTAAATCGGTCTTTTCTGACCGAGAAAATGGGGATGTCGCATCCCGGATTTTATTCAAACAATTATGAATATGTGTTTTCAATAATTTGACAATTAGGGATTTTGTGAAATGTGTTGATGAGATTTATGTGATTTTAAAATATTTTTTTTTTGAAAATTCACGGTGTTTCATCAGGGAACTCACTAAGCTTTGTGTTTACTGTTTTCAGTTTACATTTTAGGTGTTTCTATTTCGAAAGAGAAGAGTCCGGGATGATTGCAGTGCACACACCACTTCTTTCTGCCTTGTCTGATTACTCTTTTGTTTTACGATGTATTGATACACTTTGTCCACTTTGGTTTTATGATAATGTTTTCGGTTACACGTTTATTTAATTTTAAAACGAAACTTCTCGGTCTTAATTTTTGGGACGTTACAACATTGTGTTATAAATTTGATTTAGTTTGTTTTTTATTATTAAATTTACACTTGATTACTTTTTTCATGACAAATCAACTAAATATATTTGATATTTGATGAGAAAAAATATAAATAGTTCTAAATTATTGTTAGGAAGAATTTAAAAGTTTTATGCAAGCATTATCAAAGACTAATGAAGATGACATATTAGACTTTGTATTAAGGGTACAGTTTTAACTTTTAATCAATTGTATTTTGGTTTTGTAATTGTATTTCAATTTGAAATATGATTGGACTAGGAATTTCTGGCTGATAAACAATGAGACGACTTTTACTAGTTATAGTTTGATGTTAAGAGTACTAGTATTGTAGTTGAGATTTTGAAAGATAATCCGTGTCAGGCTTTCCGTTTACAGGGCTGCTCATCATATCCAAAGGGCCTTGAAGACGAGGACAATTTCAAGGCAAGTTAATTACAATTTTAGTAACATTGCACAAGAGCAAAGTATATTCCTCATGGGTGTTTAGTCTTTGTAGGTGTCCAAAGTGTACAATTATATTTCAATCAAACACATTCCACTCCTCGCAATTATTTCCCATAAGGTTCTAGATAAAATGTTGTGTGGATATTTGATGTTTAAAAGATATTTGAGAAAATACCAAAAAAAATTGATATCAAAGGAAAAAAGTAAAGGCTAAAATGCAAGGAATATCAACGTACTTTACTTGATTTGTTTATTACAGAATATTGTTTCCACTTCTTTCTATTAACAATTCAACGATATACTTTTTTAGGCTATTTTGTTTCTGTAGGTAATGTAAATTTAATGGATTTTATATGTGTCATGTATATACCTTTATTGATTTTTTTAGTTTGTGTTGTTCGATTCGTTTGAAATCGCAAAACAGTTATTTGTTGTCACTTGAGGGGATTTTCTCAACAAATTTGGAATTGCATCGTTAGTCTTGACTTGGATTACCAATCCCTTCAAAGCGAGGGAATCTTCATTAGTTATATAATTATCTTTGTGTGGTAAACTATTGTACTATATTCATCATCATTGTTTTCACAAGCAACTCTGTAACTTTTGGAGGTGTCATGATCACAATTGACTTTTTGTTATCCTCCCAGTTTCTCAAATAGAATATTCGGTGTGCTTATGAGGCAAATATGAACGCATCATCTTTATGCCCTAATGTATCAATTTTCTATGAGTATGATATTAGTATCACAGCTTATACATTTCGTTACTTTTCCAACAATCACTCTTTTATGCCATCACATTTGGTTGGTTTGGTTGACTGTGTACATGGATAACATGTATATTGATGGCACTAAAAACTTTTTAAAACTTGCTACTTTCCTTAATAGAATGCTGCAAAATTTGTACCATTAAGTGTGGCAACAAGAATGTTCGGGTTCCGTATAGGGGTGGATGAGTGTGTAAAACCATTCCAACATCGGCTAAAGTGGGGAACCAAGTATTCATTATAATGTTGTGGATACATCTCCTACCAAGACACATTTAACAAGCATGAAGCAACAGATCACATAAAAACACTACAATTAAGCGTGTTAGGTGTAAATGGTCCCATGGGTAACCCTAGAAGTCTTAGATGTTACATTACATGTAGTTCTCAAGAAAAAAAAAAAAAAAGGTACACATGCCTCTGATTCATACATAAGCCGTGCTAGCAAAATGAAATAACTCAAATTTCTGACAATGTCAATTCTTAAATTTCAAGTTGTGGTCATTTATCATCCGAAAACTCACGTTTCATAAAAGAACTACAAAATCTAATAGATATAACTGTAACTTTCTACAATATTGGTGAGACCTAGGATGCTATCACACTAAAACATTACAAAATTTTCTACATCTTAACTGTCTCAACTGCTACACTAACGCTCCTATATATTTACAAGCTGCCAACTGCACAAAATTACTCACACCCAATTCTCTTTGCTGCAAAATACAACAAATTCATCATAAAATGGAGAAAAAAGACAAAACCTTCTCAAGTCCTTGAGAAAAAGTTTGATCATCAAGACTAACCTTCAGTCTGGTGATGCTCCAACACTATTATAATTGCAGCAAGAACTGTGATATTATACAACATTACTTTGCAGAAATTCACCATGGGAACCCTTCTTCTTCTTCTTCATCAATCAACACCAGATCATTACCAATTGTTTCAGCAAAGAAGGCTTGGAACACATGCACTGGCTGCTGCAACCAGAACCCGCTTCTATTTTTCCATCTTTTCAATTATACAGAAAGGGAAAAAGATAAAAAAGAAAAAAAAATTATTCGGCACTTTCTATAGGAGGTTTATTTCTTATTAGTTCTGACTCCGTTTTGGCATGATTTTGTAGTTTTGACTTTTCTAGTTCAGCTGCTTTCTGTGCAGCCTTCTTTTCTGCAATCTTCTCGGCCTCTATTTGCTTGCAGTTTTCAACATGGGCTTGATTAAACATTTTCACAAACTTAAGCAAAGTTTCAACAACTGAAAACAATATCACAGCTTAGAAACTTGAAATCAATTTATTACAAATGAATACTTTATCATGAACGTAAATTGTTCGGATGATTGATTACCTGTTTCATACAGGCATTTTTTAGGGTCTTCTCCGAAGTAAATAATTAAAGCATCCACACTTTTACTCTGTGTAAAGCACAATGTTAAAAACTGGGATACTTGTAGCAATATTTATATTTAAAGGATTTTTTTATACCTACCAACTTTGAGAAAAGTGAAGCCAGATTCTTCACTTCAGGTTCCGCAGAAGCAAGAAACTTTTTCAGAGACTGAACATGGAAAACCAAAATAAAACCTTCACCCCATTAGCAAACAAACCCAAACTGATCTTTTTATAATATATATATATATATATATATATATATATATATATATATATATATATATATATATATATATATATATATATCAACATTGGTATCATTTTGTAGAGAATTTGATTTTCCATTTATGGTTCTTATCAACTTTATGTGCATACCTTCCGAAATTTTTTAGACACATGTCCATCTTTTTTACATAATTTCTTTTCTTGGACTACTTTCTCTAGTCCTTTTGTAATTGATTGCATTTCTTCTGCCAAGATTCTTAGTTGTATCTGAAATAAGTATATCGTTGTAATCAACAAAAAATAAACTAACATAACTTTAATTAAAAACAAAATGTGAACACAACAAAAATCACCTTTGATGCAGGTTCCAAGCTGCCAAGTTCCTTGGAAAAATCTAAAAGTTCAGGCAGTTTGTCTGCAAGGACCTAACATATACAGCACAGACACCATAAACAAAGTGAAAGAAACACAAATAAATAAATAAATAAAATGTCTTACCTTACAAAGATAATGCATGAGAGTCATTTTATTGTTCCTAGCACGCGTTTCATTAAGTTTTAAGAGGCTGTCCAATCTGAACCCAACAGCAGCACCTAAAACCAAAAAAATAATAATAAATCTATAACTCCAAATAAAATAAAGCTAGTTGTAGTAACTCACCTCTTGTAGTTCCCTGGTTCAAAGCATTTCCCAGAGAAAGAATTGTCTGCATGACTCTTCTCAACTTTACAGAACTCCTAATCTGATATAACATATATAGAAAAAGTAAAATTTAATCCAATCTTTTTGCCTCTGAATAACTGCATAATTAAAGTGAAAGATAGCTATAAACTTGCCTGTTCTACTGATAAATATACAACCTTTAGGTTATCGTCAAGTTCTGAAAGCTAAATTTGCAAAAAGAGCAGTAAAGTTAAAATAAGGTAAATATAAAAAAGCAGGAAATGCAAAGAATAATATATATATATATATATATATATATATATATATATATATCTCCTGACCTGTGTACTAAACTGTATCTTATATGAAAAAACTACAAGCTTCGCTTCTGAACGTGGAACTTTCATTAGCTCTAAGAAGAACTGCAGTTAAATGAAATCAGATATTACAATTTCACTTTTTAGTCCCTGAATTTATTGACATAAATCCAGAAATATGGTACTATGTACCTGTTCACATTTGCCCAACATTTCATGTTCTCCTTTATAGCCCTAAGCATATAAAATGTAAGTTATATTATGAAAAGAAAGATGTGGGTATATAATGTGAAATGGAAATTATAAATACACCTTAAGTAGTTCCATCTCCTCCTTTGTAGGACAGAATTTTATAAGCTTATCCACCTGATCAACATCCATTGCTAATTCATCCAAATTAAGGACATGTTCCTGTTAAGTTTCACAGCTAAAGCATTAAAAACATTTATTAGAAATCTTAATTTTGAAATAAATGCATCATATTTCGAGCTTACCATCAATTCAGGCAATGGTGCCTTCACCTTTGAAAGCATGATTTCACAATTATATGCCCGCCTATGATCAATCTGCAACAAGTGTGAAATATCAACCAATCTTCCATAAAAAGATGTGTGAAGTCAACCATAAATACAGTTTAAGATTTTTCATGCAATCAAGAAGGAAATTAAATTATTACCAGTTGTACTTTTTCCGGTTTATTAGCTGCTTTGGATTTTGCTTTTGGAGCCTTATCAGAATTTGGATTTGATGCTGAAAAGAGAGTTTCAAGTTCTGACATATCAATCTCTGGTGCCCTAATGAGAAAATCATGAAAGAAAAACTTAGTAAGGGATCAATGTCAATATGTCAAAAAAAAAAAAAAAAAAAAAAAAAAACCCACCTTGCAGCTTCACCAGATTTCTCTGCTTCAGCCCACAAGCTTCCTTGTCCTACTCTATTTATTTTTGACCAATGTAAAGGCTTCAGCTTTTTTGCAGGTTGAGTTTTCACAGCAGTTGTCCTTGATAGAGCACGTGGTTTATTTATAGGAGGTGGTGGAGATGGAGCAGCTACACCGCCTCCTTTTGAACCTGGTGGTGGAGGCGGTGGAGCTGCACCGCCTTCTTTGTTTCCGTTAACTGGAGGAGGCGGTGGTGGTGGACCCGATTTACGTGGTGGTGGTGGTGGTGGGCCTGGTGGCGGCAGTTTATCTTTTGGTGGGGGTGGTACTGGTGGTTCTGGTGGTTTAGGTGCTGGTGGTGGTGGTGGAGGAGGTCCTCCACCACCACCACCACCGGGAGGAGGTGGTGGAGGAGGAGGTCCACCAACTCCATCTATCTTTGGAGGAGCAGGTGGGGGTGGTTGAGATGGCCCAGCCGCTTGGTCAGAAGATGGTTGAGGCAAAGAAGAGGTCTCACCTTCAAGCAAACGTTTTTCAGAAACAGAAGGATGCGTACATGTCAAGATTATATGAGGTGGCAAAGATGAAAAAGATTTTGAATCACCATCCAATGATGCTTGCAACTGTTTTGATGATGGTAACTGTCTGGGAAGTGAAACACTTCTGGGCCCCACAATACCAGAGGAAGACTTCTCATCACCAAGAAATGAACTCTTTGACTTTGTATGAGATATTGTAGCTCCTTTACCTTGATTCTTTAAAGGAAGTGTTTGAAGTAAATCGCTAGATTCAGTCCTTTGAAAATTAGTACCCAACATTTCATTAACAATATCAGATAAAGCCATCTGGTGTAGCCTATTCAATGCTGCATCACTTTTAGGTACAAGCCAATCCACACTACTAAACATTTCTTGAACTTTACCAAATGCTTCTATTGGGAGCCCTGCTTCTTCAAAACTAGACAAATCTACTGGGACCTTAGAAGCTTCTGGATCCATTTCGGAGAAAAGAAGCTTCACCCAATAAAAATTACTTAGATATACTTACATATATATAGTCCACAAGTATGCATGAAAAGAAATATGAAAGGCTTGTTTGTTCTCTATAAAAAAAAGGTTAACAAAACTATATTTGATGTTTAGTGCTCTATGCCGCTATTGAACATAACTTAACTAACTTACTGAAAAGATTTCAGATGGTTTGATACCCATTAATATCGTTAATACTAAATAATAATAATATGTCCTATGACTAGGAGTACTAACATGAAGAAAAGTACCTCAGCTTTAAAGTCCTTAGGAAATTGATCCTTTTTATCCCAAGAGATATCGACTTCCTCACGATTCAGCATCAAAGTATTCGATTTGAGGAATGCTGTGTTGAACATGGTACGATACATAATCGTCTCGTTGACCAGATCATCAGTTAAGTTAATACACTCCAAAACAATGTCACCTTGAATATTGCAATTAATATCAATTTTAACGAGCTCATTTTCTGCCTGAAATGCATGGAAATTATAATCTATCAGAATAAGAAACGTAAACCTAGAATTAAACATTATAGTGATATATCCTACCTGATTGTAAGACCGAACATTCTTACTCCTCCTTGGGGTTGAGAATAAAAGCTTAGGGGTTTTATCAAGTTGTAACAACGGATCGCGTCCATAAATTCTAAATACAGGACAACAACCTCCGTTTCCATCAAAATCAGGAATCATTCTGATTATCACACAATCTATTTTAAGTGCTTTGTCTGGTGGAGGCCAATGTTGTTCATCGGCATTCCTCTTTAATACATACTGTAAGTACCTCAACTGAGAGGCTGTAGGATCATATGCTGTCATCAGGGGTAACTTCTCAGATGGGTTATGTTTCTGAACTATCTCAAGGGCCCTACTTTCAGAAGTGAAATGGTTTCTGTCAAGTAAAAGAGCAGCCAACATGAAAGCCAACACAGGCCAACCACCAAGTTCACTGTGCATTAGAAGAACGTTTTGTTGTCCAAGTGAGAGCCAGCTTTCACTTGATTTAAGAAAATGGTGGATCACCTCTATTGTCAACACAGGGCAACCTTCATAGTCCCGAGGGTAGTCCATTATAGTAAGATAGTGTTCTGATAAAAGTTGGTGGAGTTTGTTTGTTGTATCTCCTTCTCGGAAATTCACAATCATGGGTGAAAATTCAGGGTTTGTTTCTTTAAATTGAGTTATGATTCTGCCTACGTAGCCTTTGTATTCTTCTTGTTCCCAGGTTTCCATTCTGAAGCAGGAGTCAAAGACTATACACCAAATGGGCGTGTCATCAAATCAAACAGAAACAAGTTCTAATCTTGAATGTATTCAAACTTACAAAGAAATTGAACACACATTACAAACTCTGAGCTGTAAACATGATTCTTACCTCTAATCTACTAGAAAATGTCATAAGTTTAAGAACAAAAACCTTAAAATAGAAGAGATGATGACCTTGAGAAGGTTTCCCAATACAACCTTATCCAGATTCAATTACTAATGTGTCCAGAGACCAAATGTAAGAAATTCTCTCTAATATTGTATTTCAATAGTTTAACTAGAGCTTTAAAGCATCCAATAATCATAATAAGGCCACAATTTCATAATCCACCACTAGTTTAAAGAGTAAAGCTGAAACATAAATAATTAATCATACAACTTTTTGTGCCGTAATTCAACTACGTAATGTATCAAACCCCCAAATTCGAAGTAGCATATAAACCTAGATAGAAGTGAAGTGATGATTGAAGGAAAGAGGTTTTAACAGAAAAGGTAATCGTGTTACCTACATACACATATCAAACTAATTACTCTATAGAAAGGGTAAATAATTACCGTATATTCTTTCAAAGACATCGAGAAGTCCATCAGGCGGCTTCTTATGTAGCAATTTCCGTAACAGCGCCATTCGAATTCACTGATTTCTGAAACCCTAGAAACAATTTTGATAAATCCCCCAACCTCTGTAAAACAGGTACATTGGCGTTGTGGTTTTGTACCTGTGAAAAAACTGTATAACTTTTGGTTGTCTATAGAATCTACCAATGGCGATTCATTCGTGTCAGGTTGATGATACTTCGAATTGTGTGTTTGTCTAGAAGGTTTTTATCAGATCAGCATGGGGGAGTTGCACCATCGTTGCTCCAACACCAAGGGTTTGTGTTGTGCATGCAAAAAGAAAATTATTTCAATCTCTTTGCAAAATAAATACTCTTTTTGTTTCGTGAATACCATTTTTCTTCCATTTTATTAATTAAACAAAAAAAAAATTAAATCCCATATAATTATTATTATTTTATGGGTTTTTGACATAAAAATCTTTTAAATAATATCCTCACAATATACCCAAAGTTCAATTAATTCTCTAAGAAAGCTTATCTTTAATGATTCTATAAGGCTACCAAGAGTGGAGGATAAAAAGACGCGTCGGAACTGACGTGTTAGCCCCTTTCAAACGTGAACATCGCCCCAACCTTCGGTGGGTTGGATTGTGGGTGTGACGTGAAGCTGGAGACGGAACAAGATGCATGAATTTATGATATTCCTTTTTTTTACCGTTGAATGTTATTGTTTGTAAAAAAATTAATTAATTAATTACCACACTCACCTTCTCTATATATATCAACCTTTTTTTATCATTTCAAAGACAAATATATTTTCAACACAAACATTTCACCAAAAAAATATTCTTTCCTCATGGATCCAAACCAAAATACCCCATCCACCCGAACACCCCAAACACTCCAAATGATCCGTTAGCGAATATTAGCTACATGCAATTGTTATCATTACTCATTCAACAACAACCTCTATTCATCAATCTTCCATACTACCCACACTACTACTAACAACAACAACTAGAGGTGAGCAAAAACCGCACCGCAACAAAAATTAATCGTAAAAACCGCATAAACCGCAACGGATTAACTGCAACCGCAATAAAAACCGATGATGAGGTTTTCTTTTTTCCAAAAACCGCAAACTTGCTGTGAGGTGCGGTTATTGGTTTTCAAAAACCGCAAAAAAATAATAATAAAAACCGCACTGCACCGTATATATTACGTACAAATTTTTTTTATTAATTATTAATATATTAAATATTAAAAATATGATAGGTTTCATGGATGAAAGATGAAAAAATACTAGAAGACAAAAGTATTTTATGTTTAACTTTGAAAAATGATGAAATTAGATAATTTTAAAATATTTATTGTTACTTACTATTGATTTGATGTTTTTAAAATATTAGTTGTTTGTGATTTAAGTTAATTTTCTTATATCTTAAGGTTTTTTATATTATTACAAGTAATATATTTGAACTCTTAAAACCGTTTGAGCTCTAAACTGTGGTTAAAAACCACACAAAATAACGACACCAAATACATGCGGTTAATAACCGCAACAAAAAAAACACACACACACCGCCTAACCGCACCACAAAAATAACTGCACTATGCGGTTTTGAAAATGGATTAACCAAATTTGCAGTTAGTGGTGAGGTTTAGCTATTAACCGCACCGAACTGCACCGTGCTCACTCCTAACAACAACCACCACAATTCATTCAACCCCAATTTCAAGTCTTTCAACAACAACCTTCTCCGCAATTTCAACCTCAAACTTCCCAACGTCAACAAACTTCACAACCATCTCAAGTTCCATTATCTCAATCTCAACCCGTAAACCTTGACAATGACGACGACGAACGGGTTGAAGAAACACAACCAAGTCGTAGAAGGAAAAAGAAAATCAAAAGATCCAAGGAAAAAAGAAAAATACCCAATGGACTGAGGAGGAGGAGGAAACTTTAGCCAAAACTTGGATTTTCATATCACAAGACGAGGATGTAGCCAACGTACAATCGGGTCAAAGCTTTTGGAATCATGTTTTAGACCTCTTCCACATGTTATTAGGACGGAAAACGAGTCGGACATACGACTCGGTCAATGCTAAATGGCGTGACCTTCGAGCGGCTTGCACCAAATTTAACGATCTTCAAATTATAAACATGGTGCCGCAATCGAATCACAACCCAGAAAATTTAAAAGTGTTTTTGAAAATTCAACAAGAAGTTCTCGAAAAATATCGTAACTAGATTCTATGTTTTTTAGTAATTTATGTTTAATTTTCTATGCTATTTTTATGTTTTTTTTAGTATTTTAGTTTTCATTTTCTATGTCTTTTTATGTTTTTTAGGTATTTAGGTTTAATTTTCTATTTTTCTATATTTAATTTTCTATGTTTTTTTTAGTTAATGTAATGTAGTTTGAATTAATATAAAATATTTCATTATGTTTTAAATAATGTTTTTATTTAATTTAATCATAATAATAATAATAATAATAATAATAATAATAATAATAATAATAATTGTGAAGTGATGATCATGTCCTATGTCTAGTGAGTTGGTGGTGAATGTGACGTGACACATAGGTGGCACTATTTTTTCGATGGATTGATGGTGACCATTCTCCACACCCTTAAGACCGGTGGCGGATTTTAGAAGAAAAAAAGTATCTACTTCACAAGTGCGGTTTTTTTCTCATCTCAGACCAGATTCATTTCTTTGATTAAACATATCTTATAATTTTAGTGCTTTAGTATAAAAATAAAATATAAATACGTTCAAAAATAAAATACAAATATGTTCCGTATTATTTTTATGGGTTTTTTCAATTACTAAAAAAATTAAATATTATTATTGAAAATGGATGATCATAAATTCATAATCAAAATCACAACTATCGCAATTTTCATTATTATTCATGAGTCTAATTACAAGTCCTAATTACACGACTAACAATCAATTTATTTTACATATTTAACAATTATAACTTAGTAGACAAACACTCTAAAATACAAATCTATATCATATACAATTTAAGATGACTTATACTGATTTGTCGAAAACAACGTATTTCAAAGACACATAACATGTCTAATATAACATTATTTGTAAATAATAGGCACCGATAAGACATCATTTTCTATGTGTCATTCGATTAAGAGGGCTCTTAATCGGACTACTATTATAGTCTTCACTTCTGGCATCACACTTTGACTTAAACTTCCATACGTGAGTATATAGCACAAAGTACGTAAGTCCGAAGACTCATGAGCTACATGGGTTTTGACCCAACAGCACAATCATTAGAATTTCAAATCTCATAATCATCCATTATAACTTCACTATTCTAGGACATGCTTACACATACAATAGTAGCACAAAGCTAGTGGAACAATTACTAGCACGTAGCTACGTATAAACAATTCGTAACACATATACACATATAGGGAATTGATACCGCTAGCTAGCTCAAAGCTAGCCGCATGAATTGGACCGTAGGAAATAGTTCATTTTGTGCCATTAGGATAACATATACCCCATGTGATTATGTCTCCCTTTCGAGACTTCTTTGGACCATTACTTGTCTCGAAGGTGTGACTTGTATCCGGTCACCTGACATGTTGTCAAACTAGGAAAGTCACAACTGCTAACCGTTGTCGGTATGTCCCCATACTGAGTACCTAATTAGGGACTTATGACCATGACCTTTCAGGAGGCTTATACGATATACATATATAATCCATTACTTAGTACTCACCCGTGGAGTATAATATATCCTCAATTACATATAAGACATTTTAAGCTTTTTCACATATACCTTTTTATAAAGCTTCTAACATACATTCACATATAGGCTTATGTTTCCATAAAGTTCATAATAATTTCATAGTTAAATTGTGATTTACTGTACTCCACCATGGAGTACAACGTATTGTTAATCACACCAATGGCATTTCATGCCTTTTCACACACAGTTTTTTATAAAGCTTCTAACACGCATATATAGATATACATTTCCTGAACATCTTTTCCACAAAGTTGCTTACTATTTGAAATATTCTAGAGCCTCCTACATACATTTTGTAACACCTGCATTTTTCATTAGGAATTAGTAGAAAATGTAACCGATGTTGGTCAACAGTTGTAATCTTTACGTGAATAAATGAAATAAACTTTTTTGAATATATGTGATTTATGTGTATATATAAGCTTATAAAAGATTATTTAGGACAAATAATCTAAACAAAATTTGTAGTAGTCATGATGGTGATTCTGTACATATAAAGAATGCATGAATCTAACTTCATAGGGACAAGTTATGATCCTTTGAAGTTTTGCGTTCAACCCGATACGGCAAATTGCGTCGTAAGTAAATTTTTGATAGGTTGCTTATTACCCCAAGAAATCTAAATGAAATTCGTAGAAATCATAAAACCGTGAGCGTACATATAGAGAACGTCTAAGTTTAACTTCATATGAGGAAATTATGATTTTTCGAAGTTTCAGCGCAGTTGTGTTACCACAAAAATCAAAATTAGATCGCTTGAATTTTAGCTGAAACAGTCTAAACGATAATTAAAGATATCGTGATTAGGAGTTCATCAATATAAAGACAGTCGAGAATGAAGTCCGTATGAAGAAGTTATGAATTTTACATGGTTATTTGCAGTATAATAATCTTCACAAACTCTTAAATTTAAGATCGGGTAAGAACTAGCCAACATAATCTAAATGAAAGTTGTAGTAGTTGGAAATACCTACACGTAGATATAAAAAACATAGAAAATGGAACTCGTATGAGTGAGATATGAATTTTGGAAATTTCATTCGTACCTACTGTCACAACTGGAAATTTTGTGTCTTGTAAACTATACACTCAAGCTAAAGTGAATCAAAAGCTTAAGAACATGTGTAACACCTATGATTGCGACAACAAAATTTCAATCAAATACACTATACAAGCATTACAAATAGTCAACAAGCAATTGGAAACCCTAGAAGTTCTTATTTAGGTCCATTTTGGACTAGAACTTCCTTATTGGGCCTAATGGACCAATAAAC